AGGATTTTCTCAGCAGCAGTGCTAAATTAAGACATTCTCGAACCCTTTAGTTCTGCTGAAAATGAGGATCAATTCACCGTTCAGCTCTTTGTATTTGGCCCCAGTGGCCCATAAGCAGTTCAGCAGAACTCACAACAGAATGACCTATTCTCATCGCAGATCAGTTGATTGTTGTAGGGCCGGTTTACACCATGGACCTAAAAACTGTTGCTGTACAACTGAGAGCAAAGAAGGGTATCAAGTCCATTAGTCACCATTGTCACAGAAGAAAGGAGGGGAAAAAGTATATGGAACTGCATTTTCATGTTGAAATGAAAGGTGTTACATAAATATATGTTATGGAATTATTATGAAAATCACTTTTATCTCATAAAACTTGAACGTCAAAATACGACATTTAGTATTATTTGTAGCCTTAAAATCCAATTATCACTATGCCTAATTAGTACATGTCAGAGCACTATGATCTCAAAAGTCTCTTTCACAGTCACAAGAGCTTCCCATGTATTAATAAAAATTCCTTAAATGAGTAGTCACTAACAGAAGCCAGAAAAAATCTGAATGAAGGCTATCACCTCTTTCCACTTGAGCATCAGAGTTTCAGATTTCTGATACAAGCACGTTCACACACTCACCTGATTCTGAGCATATTTTCAAAGTGTCTGTTTTAATCAAAGCCACACGTTCCCTCTGGATTTTAGCCCTGTTCCATTTACAAAGCTCAGGCCTTCCAAAACTCAGAAGCATAGAAATGCTACGCAGGATGCATCTTCCAACTCAACCTACTGGTTGCATAATTGTTCTGTTCCACAGGTACAGCACAGTTTTTCTATGAAATACTCATCCTAAATAAGCTCAGTGGTACTTAATCAGATCTCAGGAGGCTATATATCCCTTCGCTAACACTGACCTTGGCTGGGAGTTAATCCCATACCTGTAAGTGGTTTGGCTATGCCTCTCTAAAGAAGGAGTACCAGAGGAGCTGGTTAGAAGATCCCTTCAGTACCACCAGAACGTCTTTACCTACTTTTATAGCACCAAATCTTGTTGTTATCAGACACTGACAAACTTTCATGGTACTGAAATTTTGGATATCATATGTGTTACTGATTTAAACTACACTTAAGTTAATTCTTTGCCTATAATAAATGAAATACATTTAACGAAAAAACAAAACACACTTTTATAGTTCTACAATGCTGATACTTGTATGGACAAAGGTAACTATAACAGAAGATGCTAATGATCTGATCTTTCTCAAATATGCAAAGAAATAATCTTAGCTTGTATGAGTAGTTTTACTGAATGAGCAGAGTTACTCAACACAGTAAAAGCTAATTATATATGTCAATATTGTATGGTAAACTGCTTAGTAACCAAATTTATGCTTTCCAGCTGATTTTTATTTTGACATTTTTAAGATAGTATCAAATCATCTTGAAATTGGTTTTAAAATACACTTGATCATTTTGAAAATCAAATTAATACAGCCAACTGTCTGAGAATTATATTTTGCCCAGATTCTGCTGCATTGTAATGCTTTCATGTTGCCTAAACAACTTTCATTTATTCCTGAGTGAGTCTAAACCACAGTACCATTCATGAAGTACAACAACCCAATATAATGTGTGCTTCATAATTCAAAAATGATGTGCTGAATACTCTTGTGATTTATTTAACGTAAGTGTCTAAGCCCTTAGCCAGGGATTTTCAACCTTTTCAACTTGCAGATCTCCTTAGTGGTCTGTAGCCATGCACAGAAAATTTATTTCTAACAAAACCAGACTTGCTTCTTTTAGTTACTTCCCACAGACTCCTTGCTATTACTTCACGGACTCCAAATTTCTAAAAGCAGTACTGCAGACCAACTAATTACCTAGAGCTGGCTGGTAACAAGAGAGATTAAATTAATAGACATAGTAGAAGACTGAGACTTGAGAAATCATATTCCATATTTAAACTCAACAGCATAAAGATCATTTGTTGTTTCAAACACAATACATTTCCTTCTTCGGAAATAGCAGCAATTAATAGCATAGCGTAGAATGAAAAAATATATAGAGTAATTTTATTCTGTCACCGAAAAAACCCCCACACCACAATTCAACAGTGAATTAGGATTAAACAGACTGCATTTAAACCAACATTACAATTGTTTGGTCTTTATAAAATTGGCTACTGTCATGTTAGGGGAAAGTGCAATATAAGTAATTTACATGTGGGTTTTCTGTAGAGGTGACAAAGGTAAGCAAATCCACATTGTACCCAAAACCTTAGAGTAACATAAGCAAAGTAAATCAGCAGAACAAGAAAATAAAATATTTTTGCAAGTGACACTGTAGCCTTTCAACCAATTTTTACAGCTGTTTTTAAAGATAACTTTGCAAACCCTTGCTGGCTGGTGACTGGTTTTGGCTGGCTTACACAAAGGTGGGAGTGTGCTGTCAGCGGGCGATGTGCTAGCTCTGCCTCTGGAGTACTCCTAGAAGGGGGAATCACAGGGACAGCTGAGAAACAGGAAGAGGTGGGGAAAGGACTTAAAAGCCTCACAGTGAGCTCAGTTATTTTGTTTCCAAACCTGACATCCATGGATGCCTATGCATGAGTTGAGCAGTCATTGCAAGGAAACTCATTGATGGAACATGAGGTTGTAGGTACTTGTAGAGGTTGTCTTCACTTTTTCAAAGAACTGTAGTACTGCTCTGGAAAAAAGATGGCCTACAGGGCTGTCACAAGTTAAGGGTAATATGGTTAGCAGGCAGAGCCTAGAACAGAGATACGGCCAAAGACCAGCCCTTGGGATTCAATATAAGATAAAATAGCTGATCAATCTCCAGATTGATCTGTACAGCACCTGGAATTAGCTTAGGATCAGCCTGCAGCTGACAAATTTTGCAGGTGAGTAAGAAGACTGTGCACCTGGCAGACCAGCATCCCACCTGGGGACTCCCAACTAACAGGTACAGGGCATGACTACACCTACAAACTGAATACGGAGAGTGCCAGGTTTCAGATATGCAATATATTTAAGAAAGTTGTTTAAACTGTTGCCCACTCCAAAGCAGGGTTGGTGGAACACAATTTTATATTCACTAGGAGAGGCTTCATTTGCAAAGACTTACTCAAGCATTAGCAGAGGGGTTTAGTTTAAGCTCCTGAAGACAGGGGATCACCAGGGATGCGGTACTCACCAGAGGATCAGGGGAACGGCAGTACTCGCCAGATGACCACGGGGTGCAGTACAGCTAGACCCAGCAGAATGAATCACCACAGTGAACTCTGGCAAAAATAATTTATGTAGAATTTAGTCTCTGCAAAAACTGTTCAGGAATAACAGAATGCTGCTTACAAAACTTATTTCAAATCCTTTTGTCTTTGTTTACCACAGCCTGTTTCCCCAAGTACTGTGTTTAAATCAGGTTGGTAGACAAGAAGGTGGGGTAGAAAGGACCTACATGCCACAACTACTTGAATACTGAGAACAGTAAAGAACTGGGTAGGATAAAAAAAACAAAGACTGGAGGGTGCCAAAATAACTAATGATATTTTCTTGAAAGGAATGTCTGATTGATAGAAAGTCCAAGCAACCACTTCTAGAAACAGTGGCAAACAGCCAGTCCCCATGAGTCAACACCACCAGGCTAAACTGCTGTTCGTGGCCCACGAAGTGCAAACAGCATCAACATCTGGCAGTTACCACATCTTCAGCCTGAAAGATCAGCTGGTCTTGACTTCAGGTGGATGGGGAGAACACAGAGGCTGGGGTGTCCTGGAAGCGGCTCCTCAGGAGCTGCCATGGCCTCCCAGCTCAGAGGGCTGCCTCTGCGGGGGCAGGCGGCAGGCAGGCCAGCCGGCTCGGGCCCAGCTGCCTCTCCCCAGGAGACCCGGGGGGCGAGGGGGCCCTTCCCACCAGGGACGGTTTTCCCCGGCAGGGAGCGGGCACCCTCAGCCTCCAGAGCCAGCTGGGCAGGGCACCGGGGAGGGCTAAGGGGGCTGCTCGGGGACCCCAACGCCCACCAGGCGCCCACACACAGGGTGAAGGGGCGCTGCCAGCAGCCCCTCCGAGGCGGGGGACGCGGCCTCGGCAGCGGCTCCCGTCTTGCTGCCTCCGAGGGGTCAGAAATGCCGCCAGGTGCCCGTGAGGAGGCAGCCTCGGGGAGCGGGAGGGGCCGCAGCTGCCCGGGCACCGGCCCCGGC